ATCTAGGCTTTGCCCTTCGGAGGCTCTGATCCTAGTGGGGAGATGGCACAGTATCCACTCCAGTGTCCTTCCTTTGCTTGGAGGCATCGAGCAATGCTTCCTGGAAGAGCTGCCATTCAACTCAAGTCTAGTGGGAGATCAGGGTATGGGGTTAACCTGAGGCTGAAGGTGGCGGGAGGAGGAGCATGCATGAGAATGGAGGCATCTTGGGGAACTTCTGGTTGTTTGGCTGGGTGGGCCTGAGGCTGGAAAGCGGGCAGAGCGGGATCACGCTGCAAGTGTAAATGCCTAACTTGCTGGCTTTTTTTCGGTAGATGATAAGAGCTATTGAAAAGAGATGTGATCACTCTGATGGCAGTGTGGATGGTAAGGGTACAAGACTAGAAACGAGGAGAGCAGTTAGGAGACGAGACAACGTGATAGCCAACACTTACAAAAGACTTAACGTGTGCCAGACACTGTTTTAAGCTCTTATCCCCATTTTGCAGATGAGAAAACCAAGTGGTTGAGTACCTTGCTCAAGGTCATCAAGCTAGTGTGAACCAAGATGGGAACTCGGGTCTCAGCCTGTGCTTTTAACCGGTACACTCCCATGAATATGAATTTTGGATTCTTGTTTGTGCTGTATTAGTATTTGTTTTCATTTAAAAATAATGCTTTCGAGTATGTCCCACTGGATCTCAGGGATCCTCTTCCTGTTGGCCGCGTGCCACAGGCAGGGAAGTGGAGCTCCGGGAAACAGCTAGTGGAGAAGTCTGCCTGGGTCTGGGTCTGCAGGGTGGGGGCGGGGGCGGGGGTGGGCATGGACTGTGCTGAAATGAAATGAGGCCCTTGGGAAGCTGGCAGCTCTGGCTCTGTGAAGAAAGGGCGTTTCTGTCCTCGTGGCCCTGCCTGGCAGCCACACCTGTTTTGTCCTTTTCCCTATGCCCAGCCAGACGTCTCTCCCAGAATGACAGCAGCAACTGGGGACATCTGCAGAAGCTCCCTCTCAGGCCTGACAAAGGCACTCAGAACCTGGCCCAAGTCTGCAAGAGAAGGAGGTGCCGGGGGTGTAGGTGGGAGGGCCCGGAGAGGCGGACAGCTGTGGGCTGGTGTGGCAGGCCTGGCCCGGGCCCAGAACAGGTGGCGTACATGTGAACTGAGGAGGTGGGTCTCCTGGGCTTTCAAGGGTGAAAGGCAGTGCACAGACTTCGCAGCGTACAATGGCTTGACTTAATGGTTGCACCCATTGAGTTTCAAGCTCCTCTTCACTCAGAAAGGACCTGGTGAAAAGAGAAGGCACAGCCCCAGAGGAGTGTCTCTGTTCAGGCTGGGTAGGCAGCACTGTGGAAAAGCTTGGTGGAAAGCACACAAAACACAGGGACTTTAAGAGAAGACTGGGAGGGACACTGCGAGAAGACACTGAGTAAATCCTGGAAAGAGGCTTTCTGGGAAGAGCCCAGCAGAGGGTCACCCTGAACTGGTAGGGCGGACTCAGGTTCTTTACAGAGGAAAAAGAAAAATCTCGCCTGGACGAGGTGCTTGAAAGGCAGAAGACGCTGGTTTGGGGAGAAGAAGATTTAGAAAGAAAAATGATTGTAACCTCTTACATGAACAAATCATGGTGCAGTCATAAGGCAGTGTTTTGTCCTGTGATTCTCCCAAGCCCCTAGAAGGTGGACATTCTTTCATCATTCATGTTAACAAATACTTTACAGTATATCCGTTATGGGATCAGAGAAGGTATCAACTCCCTAAGGTCACGCAGTGCACTAGCTTTAGTTGGGCAGGACCCAAAGTCCATCCCAGCATTGTGGAGTATGATTTCCGTATGTGTGTGTACCCTCAACTCCCCACGCTCCGGTAAAGGTTGATTATCCACTCGAACACACCGTGTGTGCTGGCCTCGATGGAAAGGTCCTGACAGAGATGGGACAATGGAAAAGGGACAGGAAGGCTGGGGAAGAAGGAAACCCCTCTTTTAAATAGCGAGTGATAACAGCAGAAAGTTAATGGAGGTGGGTGTGTGGTGAGAAGCTGGCTTCCTCGGAAGCTTTTATCCCCCTCTTTATTGGGATGTAATTCGCATACCACAAAATTCACCACTGGAAGTTTCTTAATGGTGTCCAGCTGTCTCAGATGTGGAAACTGGTGCTGGCCACTAAGGGCAGCAGGCATCACTCTGAGCAGAGTCCAGAGGGCTGATGAAGTCCCAGGAAGCCTCCATAATGCCATGTTCTACCCTCACTGGGACCCAGTTTGGAATCCTGTCTAGGGTGCTTTGCTTCCTGGAGTGTTTCTCAGCAGACACACTCCCTGTGAACGGGAACTCTGTACCCCTTTCTTCTCTGCAGTTTATGAAGGTCAATGGTAGAGGAACACTCACTCTTTGGGTAAGATTTCTCTCTCTCTTTTTTTATCCTTCCCCAAAGGGCACCCTTCTTGGTTGTCCCAGAAGCCTGCAGGAAGTGCTGGAGCTTCTAAAACCAAAACTTTCACTTCACATGTCAGTGATTCTGCACTGTCATATCTGCAGCAAAACTGACCTCCAGGGCTTTCCCGGAACAGCCGCAGCTTTCTTTAAACATCTTCATCTGCCTGCCTTTGAGAGGTAGGCTTCCCCTGCCCAGCAGGGGCCACCTGGGACAGTCTTGAGCCATCCTCCCCTGCACACACCCATGAGCCCCCTTTCTTCCCCTTCTCCCTTTCTGAGGTGGCCTGAATTTGGAAGTTTAGTTGGGGTGAGGGGCTAAGCTGCTCCAATGTGAGCAGAGCTCCTCCAGGTCGCTGACTTCTGTTTCTCACGCATCCTGCCGCCTATCTGTACTGCCCGTGATGCTTCCTGGGGCAGGCGCAGCAGCCCAGCAGGGGACAGGGCGCAAGTCCTGGCGGCACTAGGCTGGGGTGTGCCCTTTGGAGTTGCTCCCAACCTGCTCCCTGGAGGCTGGGCCCTGGCTGCAGGGCGGCAGGCTCTTCTAGGAATGCACTCCCCAGCTGGGTTTTCTGGTTGGTTGGGAACATCCCTTGGCTGGTCTGCACTGGCTCTCAAGGGCTCGCTCAAGGGACTAGGCCCAATGTCAGCTTCAGGGACTAGGCCCTAGAGGAAGGTCACAATGGCCACAGGCCTGCAGAGAAACCTGGCAGCAGTGAGCATTGGAGACCAAGTGTCTTTGCTTTTACTTCCTTCACTTGGATGAGGCGTCAGCGAGAAGGAAGAAGTGAGACAAGCAGAGAAAACAAAAAGGTTTTACACTGAGCCTTGGCTTGAGAGACTTAGCCTCTACTTGGAGCTAGGCTCTCTGCCTGTCTCTAGGGGACGATGGGAATAAGAGCAGAGAGGTGACAAACGATTGGTTTGCCCTACGATCTTCTGCAAGGCACTTAACCTCTCTGCACCTCCGTGTTCATATCCATAAAATGGGAGGAACAAAGCCCTCTCACACTCAGGGTTGTTAAGCAGTGTGGGGCATGTGCTTTGGGGATCCTCGTGAACAATACCAACATAGCAGATGCTAAATTTGAGAGCCTGGGCTTTTCTCTCTGGAGGTGGTTCTCCCAGCTCTTGCATTCATTTTTTATAATCACGGAATCATGGATTTTAAACTGGAAGTCATTTCAAGAGGTCATCTACTCTGGTCCCCTGGCATAACTCTTTATCTTGCAGATATGACTGTTTTGTCATTACTTTGACATATTGGTCATAGCAGAATGTAGATAAGCCCTTTTCCTCCTGGGTAGAGTGTGAGCTTGATGCACACAGGTGCTTAGGCCAGCAAAGGAGTAGAAGAGGACAGCAAGGTCATGCCCTTTAGGAGCAAGTGTGGGTTTTTCGAGGGCCGGCGGCGGTGCCCTTATTCTGTAGGCTCAGAGGGCCTGTGAGAATCTCATTCTACTGCCCCTCCCCGTCTCCCTGAGAAAGCAAAGGATGCACCTGCTTGTCAGGACTGGCCACAGACGAAAAGTGGTCGCCGGAACATAGTATATTCTTCAGGGTTTGGTTTTTTGTTTTTTTTTTCCCTTCTTTTTCCTTTCTTTCCCTGCAAAGGTAGATCTCCTTCTGACTCATTTCCTTGGAAGAAACAAACAGAAATAAAAACGGAAGGAACTAGGAAAAACAGGGCTCCCTCCCCTGGACTTTCTCTTGGTTCTAGAACATCTCTGAATGTGGTGGTCCATAAGAACCTCTTGAGTAGCAGAAATGTTTCCCATTCTCTCAGCAGCCAGGCAGCGGGGTATCAGGGGGACAGTGGGGAAGGTAGGAGAAATATGCCCCGGCAGCGAAAAGCTGCCCCAACTCTGGCCTCAGTTGCTAGAATTAAACCCAGGAGCTTTTCATCGCCTAAGTAACTGAGACGTGGGTCATTTATAAGAGCCAGGGCCAGTTTCTCAACAACGTCTACACCACTAGGATGCTGATGAGCCAAAAATGAAACTTGGGAAGACTGTTAAAAAAGTGCCTTGAAGAGAACTGCGCATGATTTACCATTTCCAAAACCAGAGAGTAATTCTTTGTGGAAGAAAGCGACTTGTGTCCTCCCCAACATCACACACACACTTTCCTGGCAGGCCCGATGGGTTTCCAAACATTTCGTCACCGTCTCCTCCTGACCTTGGTGTGAAAGGAACGAGCCGCGTGGCCTGTTCCAGCAAAGCCATCGTGGGGCGCCGGCCTGGGCCCAGCTAGGGTGGCGACGGACTCCACAGTGGAGGTGAGGTCTGCTGGAAATCCCCAGCCACTGCCAGCCGCCGGAGGTTTAAAGACGCCTTCCCCGGCCTTATTTGGTCGCAGGAAGTGGGCGGTGCTGGGCCTGCGAGTGGGGAGGCCGACCCGAGACAGTCGTGCTGATGAAGTGGTAGAGCTGGTTCCTGCTCGCCGCCGTGCCGCGCGCGCCGGCCGGCCGCTGGGGCTCCGCGCTCCCAGCCCCGAGTTGTGCAATCCTTTGTAGCACCTCTGAGAGTCCTCCTCCTTCGCTGTTGCCTCTCGCCCTCGCTTTTTTTTTTTTTCAAGCTGTGAGCTCAACCGATGAGTCAGAGCAGTGCAATCCTGACACTGCATCGCAGTACTGGGGGTGACACGGAGGGAGGGAGAACGATCGCGAGGCGGACACCACAGGCGCGGGGTGCGCCGAGGCTCCTGCGCCGCCAGCGAGAGGTGACAGCCCGCGCGTCCCTCCCGGGCCCCGCCAGCAAACTTCCCAGTCTCGGGAGGCGCGGGCTGGTGGAAGCCCTGCGAGCGCCGCGGGGAGGCGGCGGCGCCTGTTTGTTTTTAAAATCGAGGAGTGCGTGCAGGCTGCTGGAGTCTGAGGGGAGACCGAAGGCGGCGGCCCGAGGCGGAAAAGGGACAGCAGATGCCGGAGCTCGGGCAGGAGCGGGTAAGTGGGGCTGCCGGGTCGGCGGCCGAGGCCTGCACGAGGCGAGGCGCAGCCCGCCCTGGCGCGGCGGCCAAGGGACCCCGGGCTGCGTGCAAGCAGTGGCGGCAGGGCGCGCGGGCTGCAGCTCTGCAGGCGCGGCCCTGAGCTGGGGCGCGGGGCTGCGGGGGGCGCGGCGCGTCAACTTCTGCGGCCTGGGCGGCTGAGAGAGGGTGTGTGTGTGCGTGGGTGTGGACCTGCGTTGGCCGCTCCGCAGCCCGCCCCTGCGTGACCCGCACCTCCCGCCCGCAGCTGCGTGTGCAGCGCCAACCCGCCGGCGTGTTTGTGCAGCTACGCAGCTCGCGCGCGGCCCCCGCCCACCCGGGCGCGGCCCCGGCAGGAAAACCCTCCCCATCCGCGGGGCCGGCGGCGGCGGCTCAGGAACACGGCTGATCCTCCTCCGCCTGAGCGAAACGTGGTGTCCGCAGGGACCGGCTTGCGTGACGGAGCTCAGACCTAGGAGGCGAGGGGAGGGGCTTGCGAAATGCAGGAACTTGGCGTGGGAGCTCCTTCTTCGCCTTCCAGTGTGCACAGGAAAGTGGACATAGAAACTGCCCTCGCAGGGAGTTTGGGGACAGAGGTGCAGGGCTGGCAGGAAACAGGTAGAGGCCTACGCCGGAGTGTTTAGGCGGGCGGGCGGGAGGGCTGGCCCCGCGAACCCGCGCTCTGCGGGCGCTCAGACCTGTCATGTCTCACCACCCCCGCTCGCCCGCGTGCTGCTGCCTGCGGTGCTCGCTCCGCGCTTCGCCCTGTGCTTGGTTTGGTGGTGCCTGTCCAGAACGCGGGAGTCCGGATTTTTTCTGTCCCCTACATATGGCTGGCTTGGTGGAGATAGTCCTTCCCCACTCCCTACTCACATATGCAGAAGCATGTGCACCGGATTGCCCCTCTGAGGGCTCCTACCCAGTTCTCTGGATAGGGACCTGGTGCCGCCCTGGGGCTTTAAGCCTCAGCCCCACGGAAGGCAGACTGCGGAGATACCTGCCACTCAAAGTGGAGGCCACGGGTATTCCAGCCCAGCCTCCAGAGTGAGCTATTGGAAGGATGAAAGGGGAAGTTACTCGCCCCATTTAAAACTTTGTTGGTCACAGCTCTGTTGACTACTTCCTGCTTCCCCCATCCCACCTCGGACCTGTGTGCCAGGCAGTGGAGCCTCTCTCAGGAATCGGTGGGCTAAGGGGAGATCGGCCGGCTGGGGGTGACTGTGGAGGCCGCCGTGGCACGTGTGTGCAGGGATCCCTGTTGGCAGTTGCGGTTGAGCGGGGGAGGGGAGGTCTGACTTACTCCAGCAGGGGGAGCCTGGTCTGGTAGCGGCCTGCAGGTATGGCCTCTTATCCCCGCAGCTTCAGGATTGAGATTGGAGGCCTGGTGGAGGTGGAAGAACTGTAGCTCTGGAGGAGAAGCCTCTCCTCTGCTTTCGGTCAGGAGGAGGGGAGGAAATTGCCTGACTTGCTCCAGAACCTCTTGGGGATGATGTGGCACGTACCCCTTTAAAATCAGAAATGCACCCTTTCCATGGGCTGTTATGGCTTCAGGACAAAGGGGAAAGGAAAATTCCCAGGTTGAGGATTCAAGGGTCCTCTTTCTTCTTCTGCTCTGGACACTGAATAACAGGAGTGTAAACATTCAATTACTGCGATAAACCATCCTTGCATGGGCCTGGCCCAGAGTCCCCTCTACTTGGACAGGCCTCTGGCTGGTTACTCTAGGCTGAATAGTGCCAGGGGACAAGGTGGAGAACCTGGAGGGTCCCCTCCCACTCCCCGACCCATGAAGCTTGCTCTGGGATCACTTGCCCACTTCCAGTGTGGCCTCTCCAAGCGCCAAGCTGAGCCCTTGCTCCCTGTGGCTCTGTCACCTCCTCACCCCACCCTAGGAAAGAGTGCCCTGGGTGCTGGTGGGGATGAGAGTTCACCTCTTAAATGTGGGGTTAAAAATAGCCCGAGTTTGTTAACCAATGCACCCCAGTAAAGTCAATAAAAAAGAAAAAAAAATAAAGAAAAATAGCCTGAGTGTTTAGCCCTGTGGACTACTGCTTTTAATAAATGGAGAGGGAGAAAAAAGACAATGTACAGTTCCAGGCCCAGCTGACTGCCTCCTGTGGTTACAGAACCCAGGGAAGTTCTGCGCAGTAGAGCCAAGGCCTCTGGGTGCCTGGTGAGAGGAGAGAGGAGTAGGAGAAGGGCAGGGCAGGGCGCACATGGGCTTCGTGTCCTGGGAGAGGAATGGGCTCAGTCCAGGACTCTTTGGCCTTAATGGCCCCCTCCTGTGGATGGGTCTCCCAGAAGGAAACCTTGCTCGTGGTAGAGTAGGGATGGCTACAACTAGATGGGAGTTTCTCCCTTGTACTTCTGTAGTCCTGTTTGAAATGCCACCCACTTCTTTGGAGAAGCCTCAATCTTCTCGACATTGATCTCCCCTTTATTTAGTTACTTCTGTATATACTATAGAGTGGTAGTCAAAAACATCAACTCAGAGCTGAAGTTTCTATACCTCCTTCATAGAGAGCTGCAGTGAGGATTCTGTAGACCCGTATATATGACACGCTGAAAGCACATTTCAGCCTTATTGTAGCCCCTGCTCTAGTGTAAGCTCTGTATTGTTCCTACAATGCCTGTGTCTAGTAGGGGGTCAGTGTGTGTTAGCTGAACAAGTAAATGAAAGATCTCCCTCAGAAAAAAGTGGACGTGGCATATGGTGGGCCCAGGGAGTCCTGCCGCTGGGACTCATACCGCACCAGTGATCCTTGTGCTGGTGAACCCCATTTCCTGGCACTGCCCTATGGCTGGCCTTCTGGGAAGTCATCCTGACCCCAATGGGACCTCAGGGTAAAAGACTATACAGCCTCCTGCCTGGGAATCTGCTAACCTGGGCATTTCCTTCAGCCAGGCCTACTGGCACCCTTCCCGTGTGTGTGCACGCATCAGCTTAGAAGAAGCCTGGAAGCTCCATTCTTCCCTGACTCACCAAAGTCTGCAGGAAATGCAGCCAGTTGTCTCATTTGTTGGAGGGATTGCTTCAGCACCGAAGCGCTCTGATTATGTGGGGCTAAACTAAACAATCTGTGAGCTGGGCTAGAGCTATGTGGAGCATACTGAAATTCCCTGCTCTTACTTAAGGGCCCTGTATTTGCATTCGAAGCAACATCCAGGATACCGTGAGACTGTGAGCTCATTTTATGAATCAGAAGCATTACAGCATAACTTCGGTGTTAGAAACTGCTATTTGGAATCCAGATCACCCTCCCTCCACCTCCAACACACACACACACACATACACACACACACACACACTCTCTCTCTCTCTCTCTCTCTCTCTCTCTCTCTCTCTCTCACATGGGCTCTCACAGTCATACACTTGGGAACGATGACAGCAAAACTTGTCCACACCCACTTCCACCCCCACACTCAGAACATCATTCCTGGATGGTGTGTGGACAGTACCTGTGCAGTGACTGAAGGAAACATGGCCAGTGCATGAGAACAAGGCCTGGATAGACCTGGGTTCATATTCCAGCCTCTCTACTTGCTGGGTGGACTTGGGCATTGTTTAATTTCCTGAACCTCAGTTTTCTCGTCGATAAAATGAGGATCTATGCTGTACAGGTTAAAAAAGATCTTGCATGCAAAGCGGCTAGCCCACAGTATCTACTCAACAGGTAATGGCTAGCATTTCACCGGTTCCCACTAAGTTCAGCGGTCCACCTTTTGCTCTTTCCAGGGAAGAAGAAATGAAGGGTGTCCTGCTCATGGTAGGAGAGCAGATGAAGCTCATTTTCTAACTCCCTGGGCCCTGGGCACAACTCTGTGATCCACTCTCAGCTAAGCCAGCTCAGACCCTGTTGCCGGTGCACCTTTGCAACCGATTTATCCCTGCTCAGCTTCCCAGAGATCATAATGTGCTATCTGGAACCTACCCACCCAGGCCTCAGGCTGAACTGCTTGTGTGGGTTGGAGGAAGGCTGTCCTCTCAGCCAAGGAAAAAGTCCCCTTGCCTTTGCTTCACCTAAAGCAGGGGAGTGCAACCTTTTGGCATCTCTGGGCCACAGTGGAAGAGGAGTTGTCTTGGGCCACACGTTAAATACACAAACACTAATGAAAACTGATGAGCAAAAGAAAGGTCCATGCATAATTTTTGTGATATCTGCCACCACAGATAAGCAAAAAAGTCCTCACATAACCCTAATTATGCAGCGACCCTTTTGATAATCTTTTAAAATCATCGAGCAGGTCCCTGTGATCACTAATATAGAAAATGTACATATCTAAGTAATAAAACTAAGGAATGTTTTAAGTAAATTTGCAATTTTGTGTTGGGCTGCATTCATAGCCATCTTGGGCCACGGGTTGGACTTCCCTGACTAAAGCCTTGCAGTGTAACATCAATGGAGGGATATTTGGGTGGAGCCTTGGGTGTGAATTTTCCCTCCAAAGAGCACTTTGGCTTTTTCACCAATTGAAATAGTGGGGGGCGGCGGGGGGAGCTGGGGGGTTGAAGTGCACGAAGATATTATATAAAAAGAAAGTTGCCACATGTCAGAAAGAGCTGGGGTTTTGCATCTGACTGGGGACATGATTACTGGCTGTTGTTTGCTGGGGCCAGTGGGGAGGAGAGGGGCTTGGGGCCTGAGGCTTTCCTGGCAGTGCTTCTTGCTCTTCCTCTTCCTGGAACACAGCCTGGTACTGTGGTAGGCCGGGGAAGGTGCTCCCTGTTCCCACTGCCTTTTTCTGCAGCCGCAGGGAGCTCTTGGTGTGAGCGTTATTTTTTCCAGGCAATGCTTCTTCCTCCAGGAGTCTCATGAAGCCGGGAAGGGAGCAGCTTGGGCAAGGTTTGTTTCAGCCAGAGCTTAGAGAGAGGGAAGTATACCAGGCTTGCAGCCAGAAGGGGGCTACTTCTGAGGCTGCCCACCTTCTCTGGGGAAATGGGGTTCAGAGAGGAAGGAAAATGGTGAGGATTTTGATTCC